TGTGTGCGAGTGTGTGGCTGTTTGAACTCTAATTGATTCTTTTAGTGGAATGTGAAGTCAAAAGCCCACAGATTTGTGAGCAGCTATACAGAGCAGCCAGTCAGAATCCATTTCCAATTTATTGTTTAATGTGATTTCCACATTCATTCTGCCAGCCTCCTCCACAAACTCACTTCTCTTGCCATGCTCCTTCCCCACCCCTTTGCCTGCTGTAGCCAACGGACATTCTGGAAACCCAGGGAGAAGAGATCCAGCAAAAGATGGTTGCAAAGGAAAGAAAATAACCACAGCTTTCAGAGACAAATCTTTGAGTGTACAGAACTAAAGAAACTTGAGAGGTCCTCTGGACTGAAAATCCAGACATACTCTCATAGGTAGTGGTTGGCTCTTGCCGTTGGTTAAGGATCGCCATCTTTTAAGAAGCATTGTTCACTCATTTCCCATTGTTAAAGGTCTGTGGCATTTGTTTCTATTGTGGGATGCCACTATAACTAAGAACTTTTTATGTCCTTAAAGAACACTAAGTCTCCACATGGGCATATGACATCCCGTTAATGAGGAAACTCTGTAAATCCTGTTATCAGCAGGAGCCAGTTGAATTGGATCAGGTGTTAAATAGGTTGCCTCTACAGGACGCACAGTTATTATTAGATTCCCATTCCTTCTCCCATTCCCCCAAACTTAGCCATTGCACACACTAGAACATATCTTGTTTTATAAACTTTCTCAAAAATCAATGTATAAATAATAGCTCTTCTTACTGAGAGGACCTAACTTTGTCCCAAACACTAAGCTAAATACTTTGGATAGATTAGTTCAGTTAATCCCCAACATCCCCAGAGTAGATAGTGTTAATTAGTTTTCACTATTTATCAGCCAGGGAAACTGGGGTCCAGCTGCCCAAGAAGCAAAACTTAGATTCTAGAACCAGAAAACTGAGTCATTCAACTTGACTTCCTGCCTCACCTGCCTCTGTCATCCAGCCAGACATCCTCAGCTATTATCTCTCCAGACCCCAAAATGAGCCAGGTATTGCCTAGGAACATACACTGACCAACTCGAATAAATATTCCCCACCTTCAGAAAGTTCTCAGCCTATCCCAGAAAGTGAACAGATTCGGTTTGGTCTTTGGGGCTGATAAACTAGCAGACTTAGGGCAAACCTGATCTACTTGGTTAGTCTCAGATTTCATATTTGTAAACTGAGGCAGCTGGGTTTAGACAAGTGGTTTTCCAACTTTACTGTGAATCAGAATCCTGTTTGTTTAAATAAACAAAAACAAAATAAAACAAAAAAACTTAGTTTACTGGGCTCCTGTCCACAAGTACTTGCACTTAGCAGGTTGAGGATGGTGTCCAAGAATTTACATCTGTAATCAAGGCCCAGGTTTGAAGGTAGGATTCTAAGGGCCCTTGAGCTCTGATATTAGCATCAAGGCTGATTTTTCACCCTTCCAAAGGCCTTTGGTATTGAAAAGCTTTTAACCTATATAGTAAATCCTGAGCCCTGCATCAAGGTGATTTGGTGAGAAGATGACAATTTATAGTAGTTTCTTAAAATCCTAAAGGAGTGACTATCCACAGTCTGTGTGTTGATTCTCCATTCATGCCAAGGTACTTTGGCAAACGAGCACCATCTCCACTTTCCAGGCAGGGAAATTGGGGTACCTATGACTTCAGGAGCTTATGCAATGTCACTCTGCCAGGGCTCTTTCCCTGAAAACTGGCCTGGGAATCCAAGGACATGGCCCTTATTCTCTTGCCTGCTTATGTGGGCCTTGCTTGGGTAACTTGGCTGGTTTGGACTTTAGTTGTTCCTGCCCATAAGGCGGACTGAAGGTCTCTGAGCAGCTACTTAGCTGGGGTGTTTGAGAACCAGAAGCTGCGTGGGAGACCTTCAGAACTCCCTGGCAGCAAGTTCAGAAATTCCTTTGGTTTAGGGAAGATGTAAGGACAAATGAGACCACCTCAAACCCCACAGGACAGCTCTGCAGATCCTGGGAGGATGGGAGGGTAAGGGTAGGAAGATACGATTCACATCCTTAAGGCAAAAGCAGTGGATACTGGTGGGAACCTCCCAGGATTTGGAACCTGAAATCAGCACAATCGGTTCAGCAGTCCACTGTTTTATTTTAGGGACAAGATTCAAAGATTGAATCTGTGAAGTCAAGAGTTGTCCCTGTATCCTAATCTTAGTAGCATCAGAAGACTTCCACAAACAGGTGGAAAAAAAAAAAAAAAAACATGTCTTTCACAGAATCTTAGACACTTGAGATGTCCTTTAAAGGTTGCCTGTCCCTTGCTACTCGAAGTGTCTTTTGTGGACAGCATCACCTGGGAGTTTGTTAGAAAGGCACAATCTCAGCCGGCTGCAATGGTGCATGACTCTAATCCCAACAAGTTTTGAAGGCTGAGACAGGAGGATCGCCATTTTCAAAGCCAGCCTCAGCAATTCAACGAGGCCCTAAACAACTTAGTGAGACCCTGTCTCAAAAAAAAAAAAAAGATCTTGGGATGTGGCTCAGTGGTAGAACCTCCCTGGGTTCAATCCCTGGAACAAAAAAAAGTGGGGAGGGAGTGGTGGGGGAGGGGAGAAATGTAGAATATCAGGCTACCCACTAGCCGTAACCCAGCACTTGACTCTTATCCTCTGCATCTTGCTGAACCATCAAGTTTCCTATCCCTGGACTCCTCTAACATCTTCTTCTTAGTGGTCCTGTTTGATTCCAGCACTGATCCAGCTTTTAGAATTTCTTCTCTATCATAGGCTGACCCCCCCACACACACCCCCAGTCATTCAGTAGCTTCTACCATGGGCGCTCACTCCAGCCTCAAGACCTCATTGGACAGGATAACTCCTCCCATGTTCTCTTGAACGTCACATCTCATCCTCAAACAGTACAGTTTCTAATCTTCCCTGTTCAGGATGCGTTACTACCCGTCCCAGCATGTTGCAGACTCACTGGGGCCCTGCAGGGAATACAGACAAAAGAGATTCAACCAGGAATGATGGGGACTATGGCAAACTGGAAAGACAAACCGCACTCAAACAAGTGAGCTCTCACTCAGCCCAACCATGAGGTGTGGGAAACTCAGGCCAAGCATTGACATGATCGTGGGTTTTCAAAAGGATCCAACATCTTGCTAAAGCAACATGAAATCTTCCTGTTTTCTAAGCTCAAACGTAAAAGATCAAACCAAAACAGATTTCTCCATCTGTGGCACAGGGAAGTCGGGTTGGATCTGTTTCCAAATGTATTCATTTGTTTGTTTGCTGGTCATCTATTGGTTTTTAGCAGAAGAACTGTTTCAAATGAAATCCCACCGGATCCGCAGCACATGAACACTGATCTTAGCCTTCCCAGCTCGGAGCCCGAGGCACCTCCTGCAGAACTGTAGCTCAACTCGTTTGAAACTCACTCAGCTGATTAGAGGGTCCCTTAAGGGCCTTCCAGCTCAGCTTCTGTGATTTCTAAGAGCCCTTCGGCCTGGTTGCAGGCGTATGGCCTTTGTATTTATAGTTTTCCTTCTCCCTCCAACCAAGACATCTCGTATTCCAACTGTCAGAATTATCTTCTTGCAATTCAGAGAGGTTTACAGGAGAGAATATGAAGGATCCTTGTCATCACCAGACCTGTCGTGAGGAAGGGCTTGTTGTGGAAAGTCTGCTAACCCAGGGGTGAGCCAGACACTTAATAAATAGGCATGGGTACGGTTTTATCCAGGAGGCTTCTCGTTAGCACTAATGTTCCAGTCCACCTCACATTCGGGGCCCTTGTAGTTAATTATATAGGAAACAGGACTATTGGATTCTACCCACCGTGGCAAAATAAGCCTGCAGGGATTTAATGGGCAAGATGATCTGGAGAGCCATTGTCATTTGCGTGCACACAGAAGATTTGCAAATGGCCACACTCGGGCACAGGGAAAGGCCTGAGCCTGGACCACACCTGTGGACTTAGTGGCTGGCATGGGACAACACTGGGACCCAGGAATGCAGCCTCCTTTAATTTGGGAAGCCATTGCCTAATGGGACCACCAGGGTGGGCTTACTTCCCTGGACCTAATAAAACGCAGTCACAGCCCAGCTCTTGAAGGCGTTGTCTTGGGCTGCTGCATATATTTCTTTCTTTCAGCTTCTCAATTGTTCGCACAGTCTGCACATATTTGCCAAAGTCCACCCACTTTGGCTCTCAGCCCTGGGGATTGTAGAGATGACCAAGGACCACTTCTGCTCCCGGGGCCTTTCCCATCAGGCCAAGCCCAGCTGCCTTTCCCCACCTGTGTCTCGCATCGGTTCACGCTGTAGGCCTCTCATTTCTCCTTGTCTGAGGCCCGACCTGATGCCTCATGTCCATGAAGCAGTCTCCCTTTATCCCCGGGGGTTGTGAACTCCAGTAATGCCTCCTCCAAGTCACTCACCTCAGGTTCACTGTCCCTGCTCCGTCCAACACACAGCCACTCGCCACCCGTAGCTGCAGAAACAGCCTGAACTGAGACAAACACAAGTATAAAGGACTTGGTGCCAAAAGAATGTCAAATATTTTAATTTTTACCTTGATTGCATATGAAATGATAATATTTGAGATAGACTGCATTGAATTAAATAAAAAATATGACTAAAAGTAACTTCACTTGTTTTTCTTTTTTTTTCTGAAAAAAATAGAAATTTTCAAATTTCACATCTGCCTTGCATCTTATTTCTGTTGGGCAACGCTGCACCCAGCACTTCCTCCTGTGGGTGAGAAGAATGTGCCCATCTTTTCTCTTCCCTCCCGGCTTGTGAGTTCCCAAAGGGTACAGTGAACTTGTGTCATTTTTCTGGCCTCTGCACACCTCGCTGACACACAGGAGGCCCTCACCCGGGTGGACTGAGGGCAGAATAGATGATGACAGATGTTCCGTCATCAATCCCCAATTCTCCCTTAGGTAGTGTACTAAGGTTACTGACCTTCTTTCCCTTTTCTTCTTTTTTACAGTTTTTGTCCTTTTTCTTTAAGGGCTCACACAATCGGCCAAAGAAGACAGTTTTCTCGGGAGATGGGCAGAAGCTGAAGGACTGGCACGACAAAGAAGCCATCAGGAGGGATGCTCAGCGCATAGGTACGGAGGGCAGGATGGTGCACAGGCGGGCTCTGTGGAGGGTGTAGGCATGTGTGCATGTGTGTGTTTGTGTGTGTGTGTGTGTGTGTGTGTGTGTGTCAGCATGGGTGTCTGGACCTGTTGACTTCCTCTCTCTGCCACCATCCCTCCCCTGACTTCTGCCCCCACTTCACTGTTCGATCCTCTTTTTCCACTCACATCCCCAGAGCCACTGCCTAGGAGCGTCTATCCTGCCGCCTTTGTTGGGTGATTGAAAATGTCTCCACCATCTAGGATGCTTTGCCACCAAAACAAAGGGCGTTAATAACAAAGAGCCAAACCCACTGAACACCTATGGGGAGCAAGGTCCATGCTCTGTATTTTAGGCATTTTCTCTGTTTAATCCAGAATTAACCTGTATGGTCCGCTTAATTAGAGGGGGCCTGTATCTCAAAGAGGGGCAGTAACCTGCCTGCAGTACCACAGTGAGAACAAGGCCAATCTGGGATGGGAATCCAGTTCTGGAAGGCGGGTTGATCCCTACCCACCACCACAGCCATGAAGTTTAATTAACCTACCAGATTTCAGCTCAAGTTTTCCTTGACTAATTAGTCTTTGGAGCAGTTCTTCTTGGACTGGAGAGTGAGGAAGAGCTGAGATGAGGTGCCACAGGTTCCATCTGGGGGATCAGCTCTAGGAAGCCTGGGCATAATCAGGAGAGCTGCACCAATGCCAGTCCCCAGCCATGTGCCCATCAGTCCATACCCCCTGGGCCTCAGTCTCTGCCTGTCACTGGGGCTCGTGCCCCCTGCCTGGACTAGCTCAGGGTGTAGTAATGTGCCATGAAAGTGATGGGTGTGAAGTAGCCTCGCTATGCTGGAAAGCACCCTAGAAATATAAGGGATGGATCTCATTGATTTGAATCTCAAAGGCAGACCCCACTGTCGGTTTTTTTTAAATGATGTTATGAGAAACCAGCCTCCCCCAAGGCTCTGGAGAGAGCTCACATAACAACTGAACCGATGGCCAGGAGACTAAAGACATGAAGTGCATTGCCCTGTGTGCCAGTGGTTTACAATGGAGGGGCTGCTTAAATTGGAAAGGGGACATTTGCAAAGAGCTGATTCGCCACACAGTTGTACCAGAATGATTAGAACATCAGGTTGGCCAGCAAGGAAGAGTGGTGGGGACAGCAAGAAGAATCACGACCAGCTAACAACATGGCAGGCATTTTGCCCTGAGTGGCCTCCTTAGTCATCAGTGAACTTCATATTCCAGTTAATGCAAGAGCGAAAACTTAGAAAGGCCAAAGGCACGTCCAAGTGACAGCTGGGATCTAGCAGGGCTGGCCTGCAGGCTCCACTCTGATCTCTGAGTGAGCCCATGAGTGGCCCTGCTGGAGCGTCCCTCAGAGCCAACATTCTGGTCTTGTCTTTCTGCTTCCTGCATTTGTGTCCCTTGAGGGATCTATCCCGGGTGTTGGTCAGCGATGTCTTATTGTGGAGCACTACAAGTGACAGAGGGCAGGGTCCTTCCCCTTGTCCGGCTGAACTGGAGTAGCCTTGAACTCCTCTGCTCCGCGAGCTGATATTGCCAGCATATACTTTGCAAAGTAAACAAGGCCACCAACTCCAGAAGGTGAACTGAGTTTTAGTTGGTGATCTCATTACCATTTCTTCAAAATCATCAATGCAGATTCTTGGGCTCTATTGCAGCTGTTGTGATACAATTCCCACACACCATATGCTCCTGGAGAACCCAGAGAAGACTTTCTTGAAGCATCAGGGACTCCCCAGATGGATTGTACAGAGAGACTAAAGCTAGCCCTTATCCGCCCAAATCTGTGACTGGAAGCGACACGTTCAGGCAATCCTGGCTTAGGGTAGGCAGCTCTTAATTTATTTACTGTCTCAGAAGAAAAATATCAAAGCATCATCATTTATGGCAATTTTGATTTACATATAAAGTTTGCTTCCCTTAGAGAGTAATCATATTTCCTCAAATTTATATAGCGTTTTATAGATTTAAAAAAGCATTCACGTGTGCAGCCTCTCTTGCCTCTCCCAAATAGGCTGCCGCTATCAGAGGAGGAAGCTGCAGCTTAGAGCTGGTGTGACTTGCTCAAGGTTGATCTGCTCATCAGTGGCAGGCCTGGCTGTGCATCCAGGTGTCAGACTCCAAGGGCAGGGGTATCTGGAGCTCCAGAGGGAGTGGAGGGAATGTGAGTACCCACACACCAGGCTTTGTAACTTTCTGAGTGTCAGTATATTCATCTGTAGATTGAGAGCTTTTGCATCTACTGTACAGGGTTGCTATGGAGATTACATGAGAACAAGATCCTTAAGGGACGTGATGGGACCAGGACTGAATAAATGGTAGTTCCCTTCCCCCTCTTCCCACTTCCCTCTGCAAAATCTGGAGACATTTCCCATATCCAGGTATAAAGCTTTATCTTTGTGCTTTCAACACATTTTGCATCCTTCCTTCCCCTCTCCATTCACAGAAGCCCCATAGATGCTAGGTGATCAGCAACACCAAATTTGCTCTTTGCCTCTAGGAAATGGAGAACAAGGGCGGCCTTACCCCATGACCGATGCCGAGAGAGTGGACCAGGCATACCGAGAAAATGGATTTAACATCTACGTCAGTGATAAAATCTCCCTGAATCGCTCTCTCCCTGACATCCGGCACCCAAAGTGAGTGTGACATCTCTCATTTCTGGGATCTGAGGATTTTGCCTGTGGCTCTTGTTTGAGAATTAATTAAAGAAACAGGTCCATGAAGCACTGCTGACGGAGATTTCCTCCTGTTGCACAGGGCCTTTGACTGAGGTTCACGTGATCAGGTTCTCCTGGAATTTAGAGCTGGCTCCCCAGGAGAACCAGCCTCCCTCTCTTGGTGGGCAGTTGGAACCACCTAACTTCTGCATTTTGTCTCTTGCCCTGGTCCCCAGGGACATTTATACCTCAATTTAGAGGACCATGGTAGTGACTTTTCAGGCCTCTTTCTCTCCACTTTGTGTGATGTTTTTCTTTCTTTTTTTTTCAATAAGTAAGTAGTGTCTTTTTAGTATTGTCTTTTTAATAACTGTCTCAAATCATATTGAGAAAGGACATGTCTCACCAATTATAAAGATGATAATGGCAGCTGACATTCATTGAACAGGTAGCATGTGCCATGTACTTCATTTGTATTATCTCAGGTTCCTGAGAGGTAAGTCCTGGAATGTTGCCCATTTTATAGATGAGGAAAGTGAGGCTTAAACAAGTAGCATGACTCAATTAAGGCCCCAAGATGACTGAGAAGCTGAGTCAGGTCTTAGACGTCAGCTCAATAAGAACTAGACTCTGGACCCTTGGCTCTCCTATGTTTTCAGTAAGGTTTACTGTCATGTTGATGGTGATTTTCAACTATAGCAGTTCTCAAACTCAATGCACATTAGAATTGCCTGCAGAACTGCTAGAACGCAGGATACTGAGACTCATCGCCACAGTCCCTAATTCAGTAGGTCTGGGTCGCAGCCCAAGACCTTGCATTTCAAGTAACCTCCCAGGTGACACTGGTGTTGCTTATTTGGGAACTACACTTTGAGAACCACTGCCAGGAGAAGATGTCAAAATTGCTTCTAAATGAAGGCAATACTGAAGAGCCCTGGAGCACAACATGTTTTGCTCAGGGACTAAGAAAATAAAGCCCGGGATAGAAAACAGCTTGCATTTATTAGATGCTTACTTATGCCAGGCATTGTTCTAAGCCAGTGGTTCTCAAGGTGTAGTTTTCCAGAACAGCAACATCAGTGTCACCTGGGAATTTGTTAGACTTGTAAGTTCTTGGACTTCAGCTCAGATTTACTGGATAAAAGGTGCTAGAGAGGGGCCCACCCGATCAGTGTTTTAACAAGCACTCCCATTGCCTCTGAGGTTAGCCCACACTTGAGACACATTGTCCTAGGCACTTGAAGTGCATTAACTCAGCCAGAACTTCCAAAACCCTTAGGCACTATTATTACTCACTGTTTTACAGATTGAGGAGCCAAGCACAGTGGTGCATGCCTATAATCCCAGCAGCTCTGCAGACTGAGGCAGGAGAACCACAAGTTCAAAGCCAGCCTCAGCAACCTAGTGAAGCCCTAAGCAAATTGTGAGACCCTGTCTGAAAACAAAAAATAAAAAGGGCCAGGGATATGGCCCAGTGGTTAAGAGCCTCTGGGTTCAATCCCTGATACAAAAAAAAAAAAAAAAAAAAAATTGAGGCATAAAAAGGTTAAATCGTGTATGCATAATAAGCACAGCTGGTTAGAGGTGGACTCAGAATTTGAACTCAGAGAGTCTGGCTTCAGAATCCATGTTTAATCTCTGATCCATGAAGGTCTTTGCACCTATTGAAACTCAGTCATAGAATGTAAAAGTAAAGACTGAATCTTGGGAGCATGTTTGGTGATTTATAAATGCTTTTATCCCTTCACCTCCTTTGTATCCTGCGACAGTACTTTGAGGTTGGCATTGTTGTCTCCCCTTGTAGATGATGAAACCCCACAGCAGGAACCCTCACCTAAAAGATGGGCTGTCACCAGAATGAGGCCCCCTGCCCCAGGATCTCTTGCCAAGTGGGGATGCACAGAGACCTCAGTGTGCTTGCCCGTGGGGTTTGAAATTTGTTCCATGATCTTCACTGCCAAGCACCAGATTTTTCCATCTAAGTCTGAGCGTGTAGGTCAGCTATCACTGATGTTGCTGGATTCAGAACTATGACCTGACTCTGAGGGTCAGAAACTCAATTTTTATGTTTAGCCCCTTGCAAGTTCAGAATTCTACAATAATTTCATCTTCCTGTGTCTAGGGAAGAAGTTCATTTGGGAGCCTGGTCCTCCAACCTCAGCTGCTGTTCTTGTGATACTGTAGGTTCTCAACCATGAGTGTATCTACATGTTTTTTTTAAAAAAATACAAAGACTGGTGTCTCACCTCCAATTGCTGAACTCTGACTCTCTGAGGACACAGCCTGAGTCTCAGTATGTTCTAAAATCTCCAAAAGTAATGCTCATACATAACCAGGAATCATTGATATAAAACAAGGAATATTTTGCAATGAGAAAGAAAGGCTGAGTGTGGTCACAGCTTTTATCTACCCTTTCATCTGTTCATTCAGTAACAACATAGCAATGTTCTGTGAGCGAATCTCTGTGCTCAACACCAGGAACAAGGGATAAATGAGCTATTATTTCTTGGTGTATTGGGCAAGGTGTGGGGACAGATGGCGGAAGCAGTTGAGAAGATCAATAATAGGGGTGTGTGTTAGTTAGCTTTGCATTGCTGTAACCAAAATACCTGCCAAGATCAACTTAAAGAAGGAAGTTTATTTGGGGCTTATGGTTTTCAAGATTTAGTTCCTGGTTGGCCAACTCCATTGCTCTGGGCCTGAGATGAGGCAGAACATCACGGCGGAAGAACTCGGTGAAGGCTCAGGTCATGGTAGCCAAAAGCAGAGAAAGAGCACAAGATGCCAAGGATGATATGATCCCAAGGCCACACCTTCAGTGACCTGCTTCTTCCAGCCACATCCCACCTGTCTACTTTTACCATCCAGCTGTCCATTCAAATTATCAAACAGATTAATTCACTGATGAGGTTACAGCTCTCGTAATCAAATCATTTCACCTCTGAACATTTCTGCATTGTCTTAACACATGAGCTTTTCAGGGGATACCTTGTATCTAAACTATAACAGGGCAGGCACAGGATGGTTTGGGACAACAGAGAATTCTGGGTCCTCTGCCAGAAGGCCGGGCGCAGTGGCACATGCCTATAATCCCAGTGGCTTGGGAGGCTGAGGCAGGAGGATCATGAGTGAGTTCAAAGCCAGCCCCAGCAATAGCAAGGTGCTAAGCAACTCAGTGAAAACCTATCTCTAAATAAATACAAAATAAGGCTTCAGTGACCCTGAGTTTAATCCCCAGTAACCGCCCCCCGCAAAAAAAAGAATTCAGAAGGCCTCCCTAAAGGAGTGCCATCCATCACATCCTAAAGGACTAACTAGAGCTAGCCACATGATAGAGAGTGGAAAGGACATTGCAGGTAGGAGAAATGCCCCGGAAGAAGCCTTCAGGAAGGATAGCACACATTGTCTAACTTAGGGCTTAAGATGAACCTTCCACTGGCTATAAGTGGAACCAGGATGGGGGCCCAGCCTTGGGCAGGGTTCTTTCCCAACAGTCCAGAGAAAGAAACATCCTGTTAATTGAGAAGTCCTGCTGGGATGCACAGATGGGTCTGCGGACAGAGTTCAGGCAGTCTGTAAACCTGGATGAGAAAAACATGGCTTTTTTTTTTTTTTTCATCAACCTCTACCTGAAATATGATGTTCCTTCCAGTTATTAATGGAGGCATTAAAGCCCCCATGACACTGTCACCCAAAGAAACCATTCCACATCACTTTATAAGCCTCTTGAAATGGCATATGCGCTTGGCATTACTTTGAAATGAAGGTGGTTTTCGATTTTATATCCAGATTTTACTGTGTGTTAATAAAGGAGCATATTTACTACCGAATTTCAAACTTTTGTTCTGTGAACTACACAGTGGCTTCTCAATTTACGATAGTGTTAGATCACCATAAAGCCATCATAGGTTGAAAGTATCATCAGTAAAAAAATGCAATTAACCTCATAGCTACTGAACCTCCTAGCTAAGCCAGCCTACCTTCAATGTACAAAACTTACATTAGCCTGAGATGAGATCATGGCAGCCAAAAGCAGAGAGAGAGCACAAGGACCCTGGGATGATGTGATCCCCGAGGCCACAATTCAGGCCCCATTGGGCCAAATCATCTAATTTTATAAAATACTGTTGAATATCTCATGTCATTTATGGAATGAATACAGTAGGAATGGCTGTGTGGGTATGCTTTTGTACCACTGCAAAGTCAAAAATCATTAGGTTGAATCATGGTATGTCGGGAACCATTTGTATTTCAGTCTCATTAGCTTCCTCTACAATTTCATATATTTTGTTCTCTGTACTGTGAACATTGGATACTCCAGCCCAGTGGAAGGTCCTTAGCACTGGTTAGCTGCAGAGCACCTGTTGCAGGTGGGGAGAATTGAGCTAGGAGATGGAAGGCATCTCTATTACCCGCCCGTCCACCCACCCAGCCAGCATCCAAGTTACTAACTGAAAGATGTCACCAAATCCAGTGCTCCTGATGCCCCCCTTCTTTAGGATTGCCAGGTAGGGAAGGCGACTTTCAGAAAAGAGTTGACAGATGTCTTGAAGCGCTCTTCTGTTTTCCAGGGGGATGCTTTCCCACGGTTTGACAGCAGGAATGCAGGAAGAAATTAGAGCAGTTGAGCTGCTCACTCCCTTCGGTTTCTTTTAGCTTAAACAACTTCTCCGGCAGGAGCTGAGGTTTATGTTTGCCTTTTATTCCTTCAAACTGAATTTTGGCAACAGCGTGTTAAGAACAGGATGGAGGGGCTGTTTGTTTGTGCCAGCTGCCTTTGCTTGCACCAGAAGCTGCTCTGGGGAGCACACAGCCACAGAGAACAGCAGTGAGGCAGTTGGGCTCCGACTTGCTGGGCTTGCATGTGGGAGGAGGCCAGCTGGCTCAGAGCGGGCCTGCCCTCTGCACCTCCTGCCAAGTGAGTGTGAAGGAGGCTGCTGGTGGGCTGGCCCACTCTCCTACTCCCTGGGGAGCCCTGC